CGCATTTAGTAAATTCACAACATTGTGCAAGTATTACTTCTATCTAGCTCCAAGATGTTTTCTTACTTTCTTTTGTGTATGTGTGTCTACTCTCTTCACAAGTTTTCAGAACAGTATTCTTAACTATTCAGAAAAGTATACAGAACAGTATTCTTAACTACAGTCTTCATGGCGTATCATAGATCTCTGATTAATCCTATATAACTTCAAGTATGTACCCTTTGATTTACATCTTTTTATTTCCACTCCCTCTCCTCCCCAGTAACCACCATTTTACTCTGTGTTTTTATGTATTTGACTTAAGATTTTCACACGAGTGAGATAATACAGTATCTGTCTTTCTGTTTATGTCTTATTTCATGCAGTGTAATATCCTCCAGGCTCAACAATGTTGTTGCAAATGTCAGTATCTCCTCTATTAAGACTGAATAGTATTATGTTATGTATACATACTGTAATTAATGTGTTTATCCATTCTTCTACCTATGAACAGTTAGATTGTTCTCATATCTTGGCCATTGTGAATAATTCTGCAATGAATAGGGAAATGTAGATATTTCTACAAGATTCTGACTTCACCTACTTTGGATATGTACCCAAAGAAGGATAGCTGGATCATAGTTATATTTTTAATTTTTTGAGAAAACTCCACGCAGTTTTTCACAATAGCTGTAGTAATTTACATTCCCAGCAGCAGTGGACAAGGGTTTCCTTCCCTCCACACCATTGCTGACGCCTCTTATCACTTGCCATGTCTATTCTGGCCATCTTACCAGGTGTAAAGTGATATATTACTGTAGTTTTGATTTGCCTTTTCCTGATAATTACTGATGTCGAACACTTTTGCATGTGTATGACTATTTGTATGTCTTTCTTGGAAAAAATCTATTCATAGATTTTGTCGATTTTTAAATAGTTTTTTTTCCCTTTCAAGTTGTGGGAATTCCTTATGTATTTTGCATATTAACTTCTTATCAGGTACATAGCTTACAAATATTCTCTCCCAATCCATAGATTACCTTTTTATTGTGTTGATTACGTTCTTTGTTGTACAAAGGTTTTTTAGTTTAATAACCAATGTTCACAGATTGAAAGATTTAATATTTTTAAAATGTCAAATACTACCTGATGAAATATACAGATTGAATGCAATCTCAAGTCAAAATTTCAATGACATTTTTCACAGGAATAGAAAACCATTCTAAAGTTAGATGGAACCATGAAAGACTCAAATAACCAATGTGATCTTGTAAACTAAATGCAGAGTTTGGGGCATCGTATTTTCTGATTTCAAATTACATGACAAAGCTATAATAACGATAACAATATGGTACTGGCATAAAAGCAGACACATAGACCAACGGAACACAGTAGAGATCCCAGAAAGCAACCCAGCATATATGATCAACTAATTTTGGCAAGGCCAGCAAGAAGCTACAATGGGATTAGGATAACTGGAAATTAGTTCTCAAAAGAATAAAACTGGACTCTTATACAACACACAAAAGTCAACTCAAAATAAATCAATGATTTTTCTGAAATGTTCCTTCGGAGCTTATATATTTTGGTACAATAGTTAATCCTGAGGTCACCAGGAGAAACTAGTTTCTTCCCCCTCATGGAACTCTCCTGGAAACATAAAACAAGCAAACAAATGTGAGTCAGTTTCTTTTTTTTTTTTCCAGTCTGGGGGAACCTCATTGCTATTAGCGCCCTGGCAGGGGAGTCTACCTGCCTTCCCAACATTAAACTTTTGCCATCAGATCCAGGAAACAAGAGAGATGGGTGGTGGGTCCTGGTTAGAATTAGTTCAGATAGTTGCCCAGGATATGAGGTCAGTGCTGAACTGAAGGCTAAGCTTGCTCGCCTTTGATTATTGTGTCATTTTATCTGTGGCAGACAACACAGTAAGCAAAACTAGAAATACAGATGATTTCCGAGTGAAGCCAGTGACTCTCAAATCACAAACCTGCCTGAGATACTGGGAACTTGAACAATGATCCTGGTGGCACGTGGGCCAATAGAAGTTGCATCCTGTCAACAGCTGCAACTTGTGACACAGAGAGGGGCGTGCCACAGCAGAAGAACTCAAAGCAGCAATAGCAGCAAATCTGTTTATTAACATGTGAAGTGTTTTAATTATAATACTCTTGTTCTATAATTTAAAAATGTCCAGAAAGCCTCAGGTTGCCTCTGGTCCAGTAGACAGGGCAGAGAGCACAGAGGGCATGGACCCAGCTGTGGCAGCTGCAGACACCCAGGCTCTCCGGGCTGCTCATGCTCCTAGGGCTATTTTCAATTCCAATGTGAAGCCAGCCTAGCTTTAAATGTGGGCAAATATGAGCATGAATTAAACATGAAGAGGCAAAGAGATATATTTAAGAAGAAAGAGGAAGGCTTGAAATGCATCCAGCTATATTTTTAGAAAATAAAATATTAACCACTTTTCGGGATTGTCAGAAGAAGGTGGTTTGAGGATGGGAATAGCTGCCCTCAAGTGAATTTCTATTATTTTCCTTACAACAGCCTTTCTCCATTTTTCCCTATATAACATGTACTCTTATTGGGCTTTAGTCAGAATTTGCTGTACATGATACTTTGAAACCTTTGCACGGTAGTGATGTGAAAGCATACAGAGCAGCCCCTAGCACCGGGAAATTCTAAGAAGGGAATACATGCTCCCTCTTGCACAGCAACAGCTTGACCACTGGTGGCTAGCACAGAATCATTCTGGAAGTTCCAGCTTCTATCCTTTGCTCTCCGAATCCTTCAATTGATTCTTCCACAGGTGCTTCCAAATTAAGGATTGAGAAACAAAGGAATCACAGGGCTCAAGGAAATGTTAATATCCATTTAGTCTGGAGGTTTGGAGAATGGGAATGGATTTAGGAGGAACAAAGGTAGAGACAGAGCAGCCAAGTTCTACATCACTCACTGTTGCTTCCATAAAAACGATCTTTCTTTGCTCTTTTATCTTTTGGAGTCCCCTATGAGATTTTATTTGAACTACGTATTTAACTATGAAAAAAGGTCTAGCTATGAGAAATAACTTGAAAATTTTGGGTATATAATGGCATTTATAGTGCATTAGAATGGGTTTTTTGTTTTTGCGTTGTGGAAAATGCGTTTTGGAAATTACTGAGTTTATGTGAGTGGTGAAAATATACTGTTTAATTTAAAGATAATTGTTTAATACTTTTACACCACTAGTGGGAATGTAAATTAGTTCCAATTCCTCAAGGATCTAGAACCAGAAATGCCATTTGACACAGCAATCCCATTACTAGGTATGTACCCAAAGAATTACAAATCATTCTACTACAAAAACACATGCACATGTGTATTGCAGCACTATTCAAGATAGCAAAGACTTGGAATCAAGCCAAATGCCCATCAATGTTAGACTGCATAAAGAAAATGTGGCACATGCACACCAAGGAATACTATGCAGCCGTAAAAAATGAGTTCATGTCCTTTTCAGGGACGTGAATGAAGCTGGAAGCTCTCATTCTTAGCAAACTAACACAGGAACAGAAAACCAAACACCACATGTTCTCCCTTGTAAGGGGGAGTTCAACAATGAGAACACACGGGCACAGGGAGGGAAACATCACACACCAGGGTCTGTTGTGGGGTGGGGGCCAAGGGGAGGGAGAGCATTAGGACAAATACCGAAAGCACTTGGGGCTTAAAACCTAGCTGTTGGGTTGATAGGTAGAGCAAACTACCATGGCACATGTATTCCTATGTAACAAACCTGCACGTTCTGTATTGTATCCCAGAACTTGAAGAAAGCTTTAAAAAAAGACATAATTGCTTAAAAGAGCTACCTGAATAATTTAAGGATCAGATTGTGTGAGGAAAATCAGTCTATTAGCAACCCAACCCCATGTACATTCCACAAGAAGAAACATGGCACAATGCGCCTTCCATGTCTAACGGTATTCAGCAAACAGGGCAACTTTGAGCCCTAATTGCCTAATCCTCAGTGTCTCTGAACTTGCAGTCGTCCTTGAAAACCCAGCCTAGAAATCTCCGTAATAGGCAATCTGCATGGCTACATCTAATTTCAACATTTTATGGTTTTTATAACCCACGATATACTCAAGGATTCTTGCCACTTTTATACTACATTTAAGTATAACCGAGTACATAAATACGCATACAATATACTGTTCAGTACTGGCATTCATTGAAACTTAACAGATATCCGTGAGTCTGATGACTCTTTCTAAAGCCATACTACAAGTCCTTGGACTGCCAGGACATAAGCCCTCGAAAATACCATGACAGCTTATTATAAAAATAGATTTAGTGACTCAATCCTAACCTTTGCCAGCCAGGTTCAGCTCCTTCTAACAGATAGTGTATGATTCCTTCCTAAAGTAACACTTATCCTGCTGCAAGGTCATTGAACCACCTGTGTCACCCATGCAGACTCACACTCCCTTCCTGAAGGGATTTGATTCATTTTACTAATTTCACACTCATTCACTCCTTTCTCTGAACAAGCAAAAGAGAACCCGACAGGCCCCAGTCACTCTGCCAAGCACTCCTCCCGCTGTTGAGTTTCTGCCCTTCTCAGGAACTCACAGCTCCCTGAAGTGTGTAACTCCAGTTACCATCTTGATACAGAGACACTGTCTCCTCACCTAATAAAGAGTATTTTTGAAAAACTGAGTGATTTTTCTCATTCCTATTGAGCAGTGCTTATCAAAGAAACAATACAAATTCAACATAGCCGTTTGAGTAAGTACTGTGGAAAGATACATCCAAATGCTGTCTAACTACACCTAAACATTCAGATATGTCCTGAATATTTCTACTCCTTCCATCACAGGAGGTTTTGTTTTTTATGTTATTTTTCCACAACAGAGAAAGAGGCTCCAAAAAGATTAATTTCAAAGAAAACAATTGTTTCTTAGAAGTGTAGACAAATACAGTCATTTTTTTTTTCACGAATTTGCACATGACACATTATTGCAAAGTAATGGTCTTACTTGAATTTAGGTAGAGCAATGTTTTTCTTTTGCTGGGGTCACTTCTCAGGCAATCTCAACATTCTGGAGAGCACTCTAGATGCAGAAATAAAAAAAAATAATAAGTCCTATGAGCATTCAAAATAAGCGATGAAATCTATACACTGAAACGTATCTACTTTATGAGGAAGACAAACTTGCTATTTACACTCATATCATACACAGTTTTCCACACTTTCTTGTCAATTTCTAGGAATAGCTCAAATCCCTGTAAATCATCTAGAGAGGAAATGAGATAGTATTTCTCAAATGACTAACGTCACAAGATTAAGTTCTGTAGAACACACGTTGGGGGAATTGACTTTTTAAAAAGTGCAAGAGGATATTTGGTAATCTGCCCAAAATATCGTCTGCCAGTAAATAGCACTTGGATCTAAATTTAGAATGAGACTCCAAGTTTAAATTTTGATAATATTTAAAAGCATTCATAGTGAGGAATAGTCTATTGATTTAATGCCAAGAAGTGATTACTTTTTTATGAGACTTAGCTCTTAACTCAGTTTTATGGTGAGGGGGGCCAAGCTGACCCCTGAAAACATACTGTAATTGAAGATTTGAGCAACCAGTTGCTAATTCTAGAGGCTAGAGTGGTGCTTCTGCCTTTGTCATTTAGTTTTTAATGATCCCTTTTATGTTACTTGGCTCCTCATGAACTCAGCTGTAGTTTTGAAAATACTGTACCATTTTAATAAAATGATAGACAGGTGATACGTATGTATTTAATAGAGCAGTGGTTATCAGAAGTCCCAGGGGCATGAGGCTGGCTGCGTAAGAGTAATTTGTGTAGCCTATTGAAAATATTTATATATTTCTGACTCAGGAGATGCAGTTTAATTCCGACTCTGAATCAGATTTACATAGATGCCTACTAATGTGCATTTTTAAGATGCTCCCTGAATATCTGAACTATAGCTAAGTTGAGAACCCTTCACTAGAATAAAGTTTGTGAGATGTGCTAGGAATAATTCTTGGATGGTGTGATGGTTAATACTCAGTATCAACTTGATTGGATTGAGGGTTGTGAAGTGCTGATCCTGGGTGTGTCTGTGAGGGTGCTGCCAAAGGAGATTAACATTTGAGTCAGTGGGCTGGGAAGGGCAGACCCACCCTTAATCTGGGTGGGAACAATCCAATCAGCTGCCAGTGATGCCAGGATATAAATCAGGCAGAAAACAATGAAAAGACTAGACTGGCTTAGCTTCCCAGCCTACATCTTTCTCCCGTGCTGGATGCTTCCTGCCCTTGAACCTCAAGTTCTTCAGCTTTGGGACTCCAACTGCCTTCCTTGCTCCTCAGTTTGCAGATAGCCTATTGTGGGACCTTGTGATTGTGTGAGTTAATGCTCCTTAATAAATTCCCCTGTGTGTGTGTGTGTGTGTGTGTGTGTGTGTGTATGTATTTTATATATATATATATATATGTGTGTGTGTGTGTGTGTGTGTGTGTATGTATTTTATATATATATATGTGTGTGTGTGTGTGTGTGTGTGTGTGTAAAGAAGGATATATATATACACATATATATATATATCCTATTAGTCCTGTCCCTCTAGAGAATCTTGACTAATACAGATGGCCCCCAGATTCTTGGCCTTGAAATGCCCCTCGGCTGTGGACTGGACTTATGGCAATTGTGGATTTCGCTTGTGATGAGATTCTAACAGGTGACAAAGGTGAAGGGCTTTTGTAGCTGTCATCTCCCAAATCAGTCACTTTTGAGTTAATCAGTTTGAAGGAGACTATAGTGCGTGGCCAGACCTGATCCAATGGTAGTTCCTACAGAGGGTCAGAGGTTCAAGCTGGGATAGATCCTCTTGTGCCTCTGGAAGAGGGAAGCGGCCCTGCGAAGATGTCTGCACGCCCCAGTCCTCCAGGAGGCCACCATTGGGAACCCAGAGCAGCCCTTGGCCAGCCCACAGCAAGGAAGTGGGGATCTCAGTCCTAGAAACACGAAGAACCAGATCCTGCCACCAAGCCAAACAAGCTTGGTAGAATCCCTGAGTTCCAGACGAGAACACAGCCTGGCTGACACCACGACTGTGAGGCTATGCATGGAATCAATCCGGATATGTCACACCTGCACTTCTGACCAGGCAAACCATGAGGAAACAAAGGAGTGCTATTTTAAACAACTAAGTTTGCTGCATATTTTTATGCAGCAATAGATAACCAATACATGAGAGAAGTTTTATGCCTCACTCTCTTATTACCATATCCCTACATATGCCATGCATGTGATTCCAGGTTTTTTACAAATTTATATGATAAAGAATTCAGAATTAGATATTGTGTCAAAATAATGTTAATTGCACTAGAATCCTTATCATATCTTTAAATTTTTTCATTATTTTACATGATATAGTTTTAGCCTAATCTGATTTCTTCCATTGATTTATTACTTTCTACAGATGTATTTGATGGGTTTTTATTTATGAAATAATATATACATCAAGTCTCTTGAATTAAAAAAAAATGTAATCTCGTTCCACAGGACCAATGTTGAGGTGTGAAAGTAGGAACATTACTGAAAGAACAGCACACCATCCTCCCTGAGGCTGGCCCACTCCTGGTCCCTATGACCATGGAAGTGAACGGACATGAGAACTAGAATACAGTGGCCAGAGCAATCACTCTTACAGCCCCAGGTGCAAATACAAAGAGCAAAAAGGGAAGGAAGATCAATGGTTAGATGAATCTTCTGTTCACATATCTACCACCCTCAATTCCACAATTGCCCATTTATTTTTACTTCACTATTAATTAATTTAGAGATAGGGTCCCACTCTGTCATCCAGACTGGAGTACAGTGGTACAACACTCAGTGCATAACCCACTGCAGCCTCTAACTCTTGGGCTCCAGTGATCCTCCTGCCTCAACCTCCCGAGTAGCTGGGATTACAGGTGCAAGCCACCACACCCAGCTCCTAGTTGGGACCTCTGCACAGGCTTTAATGTAACATTATGAAGGAAATGAAACCAAATAAAAACTACAAACCAAAACACAGACAGTCCAAATAAGAATTCACTACAGCTAATGAAGTACATAAAAATCTTAAATGGTCTTTGGGAGGCTGAGGCGGGTGGATCACGAGGTCAAGAGATCGAGACCATCCTGGTCAACATGGTGAAACCCCGTCTCTACTAAAAATACAAAAAATTAGCTGGGCATGGTGGCGCGTGCCTGTAATCCCAGCTACTCAGGAGGCGGAGGCAGGAGAATTGCCTGAACCCAGGAGGCGGAGGTTGCGGTGAGCCGAGATCGCGCCATTGCACTCCAGCCTGGGTAACAAGAGCGAAACTCCGTCTCAAAAAAAAAAAAAAAAAAAAAAAAAAAAACTTAAATGGTAAAACAATCATTGTATTACTTAACAAGGAAATAGAAGAAAGGAGAAATTTTAAGCTTCTATCCAACCGGAATATGTGAGGCAAATATGAAACCCCAGGTTTCTCGCCATGTTGCCCTTCCCAGTGCTCAGCTCCCTAAGAGTGGGCCGCCTTCTCTCTGCCTTAATAAGTCTTTAAACGTTTTTCTCTATCTGGTGTCCAAGATATTAAGTTGCATTTAAGTCGGAGGAAGAGGCAGAACAGCTTCTACTCCAGTTTTCTCAGAAGCAGAATTTGGACTTCATTTTTGACTTAGCAATTTAACTGGAAAATTTAAGTGTGAAATTTAAGAGTATACACGTGAGTTTTAAAAATACATTCTTGATGTCAGTTATTCAGAGTGACTTTTAATATAGATACATCCATAGAATCTGCGTGCCCTATGATGTCTTTTAATAAAATAAATTATTATTCACTGAAATTATTCATTGAAATTATTATTCACTGAAAACCTTGAAACACAAATATCACTGAGGAACACAAATTCAACCATAAATGACAAAGATGGAAAAGTTACAGAAAGAAAAGAAAATCAATAAGTGTTTTAAAACACCCCTCATCTGAAACAATCACTCTGCCTGGCATATTATTTAATAGTTAAATATCTTGGTTGTGATGGAAGTTTCACAAAAATATACACATGATAAAGTGACATGAACACATAGGAGTACACGTGTAACCGAGTAACTGTGGGTTTTATCAAGGTCAATTTCCTGCTTTTCAGAATCAGGTACTGTAGTTATGCAAGATGTTAAATTTGGGTGAAGCTGGGTGAAGGGTCCACAGGCTCTCCCTCCACATTTCTTTGCAACTTTCTAAAAATTATAGTTAATTAAAATCTTAAAAGTTTCTTAAAAAGTAAAAGAAATGTTGAATATACAATTCAAACAGTGTTATCTTTTTTTTTTTTTTTTTTTTTTTTTTTTTTTTTTTTTTTTTTTTGAGTTTTGCTCTTGTTACCCAGGCTGGAGTGCAATGGCATGATCTCGGCTCACCACAACCTCTGCCTCCTGGGTTCAAGCAATTCTCCTGCCTCAGCCTCCCAAGTAGCTGGGGCTACTGGCATGAACCACTGTGCCCAGCTCATTTTTGTTTTTTTAGTAGAGATGGGGTTTCACCATGTTGGCCAGGATGGTCTCAATCTCTTGACCTCTTGATCTGCCTGACTCAGCCTCCCAAAGTGCTGGGATTACAGGAGTGAGCCACCGCGCCTGGACATGCTCTACTTCTTACATTAGGTAATAGATTCACAGATCCTTATGATATTAATATGTTTTATTAAAAAATATGTATGTGTATTTACATATGTACATGTATACACACATGCATATACATATATACACACAGATGTGTTAAGGTTTCGTCTATGTCAACTATTACACTAATATAAGTAAAACAAGAAAAAAAGGCGTCTTATACTTTATACTCTGTGTGTGCATATCTTCGGATGGAAGGTACATATTTTCTTTCCTTTACTGTTAGAGAAAAAAAAAAATTGTTCCTTAATGGCAATAATATAAGGAATGGAATGACTTGGTCTTAATAGTAAATCTACAATTTTGTGGTCTTATTCATACTTGATTATGTTGGCAATGTAAAGTGATTTGTATTTGTATAAAGTATGTAGCAATATAATTAATAGTTGGAAATGA